GAATTATGAAGAAATAGAGTTAAGTTTTAGTAACAAGTATAAAAATTAATCATATTCTGATAATGCCTTTCATTTGATTTTATTATTTTAAATCCAATTTTAAGGTAGTTTGTAATTTAGGATTTAGTTTTAATAGGGTTTATTTAAATATAGTTTAACCCTGTGTCAAAATTTGAGGCTAGAAACAATGTCTTCTGCTTCAACACTTCATTTTCTAAGCAGTCACAAGAACAGCAGTCTTCTGTATGGTTTACCATGTACATCTGCACTTACTGAGTGTTCATTTCTAGATTAAATTATTTCTTTCAATTCTTTGAATAAAACAAGTACTTCCCATAGTGCATAAATGCAGGTTTACATAAGTATCATTTTTTACTAATAACTGCAGACAAGTACAACTGTTTCCCATGGAGTATAAGTATCAGCAGTATGGCAAAGAATATCCTTTAGCAGTAAATGCAGACACGCTTTCATTATGCAAATAGTTGCACACTTTTTTGTTCCGTTGTATACCTAGTTAGGGCAATTGTATTACCTTAGTTTTCATTCTTCCTCTGGTTGGATAGCCCAAGGCATAGTTTAATAGTCCTGACTGAGCTCATGGTGATTTTCACCTCATTTAAGTGGTTTATGTTGCTTTTGCACAAGAGTGAATTTCACTCAAGTAATCTCAACCTGTTTCTTGCACTGCATGCGCACCGCTGGAGAAACTGGCCAGACTTTGGTCATTTTGCACACATAATCTCAGTGACTTCACTGACATTTTCAAATTCCAAATTAACACGCTGCTTACATAAGAGCAAGCGATTTGTCCCACTCCATTCAAAAGAGTTGAGTACATTTCATCCATATATGTCTGATTTCTCACTATGAACTCATGAACTCATCAGGCTGAACAGTTCATGGGCTGGGACACAGGCAGGTAGGAGGATAGGGAAGTATTCTTTTGTGAAATACTATGGAGCTGTCAAAACACATTTCATATCTCATCAACTGTGGGCAGAACAATTGACACAGGTGATTGTTAATATTTTCTTTATCCTTTTCTTTAGGCTTGAATCTACTTTAATCTTTTTTTCCCTGTTGTTGACATTCTGTGTAAATCAAAAGACTCTTCGAGAGTTTTGAACTCATTAAAACAAACAGAACTGAAAGGGTAGGTACCTGCAAGTGGGGCTTTGTAAACAGGAATAAAATAACAATGCTGCATGCATCCCAGAGAAAACACATTTTGACTGCAGACAGGTGCATCATTTGTTTACTCAGCCTATTGTTAAGCTTTTTGGTTTTGAAGAGGCTTTAGAAAAGTGGAGACACTTTTATTCATGGTACTCTCTCAAACCTTCACATTTTCTTTTTCTATACTAATACTTTGTAAAAATCTGTCAGTAATTACTTCAAGGTGAATGCTTTTATTTTTTTGAAAGTTTATTGACTGTATTCTTTATACAATGACATTATGTATCCTGTTTTGTTAGTTTTATTCAAGGGCTTCAGACTATGAATTGCCTTGTTATGAAATGATGTGAATATAAGAGGAGTCTCACATGTTTTTTCCTCACAGGAATAATTCTATTGACTCTAAGCAAACCAGCATTGACTTTTACTCAGGTAGTTCAGATACAAACTTTAGATATTTACAGTATCCCAGTTACTCACTGCACTGAGTTCTGTGTGCTGTCTCACAGCACAGCTTCATCATTTTACTTTTTCTTATTGTATTACAGTTTCTTTATTTGTAACACTTGTTTAAAATAAAGGTCTTATAAGTATTTAAGTTTCTGAATTTGTATTTCTTTATAGTTTTTTGACTGTGCTCATAAGGTTGTGATAACAGTCTCACTTTTCATCTAAATTGTGCATGTTTTTTTATTTGGACTGTTCTAATACCCAGAGACTTCACTGGGATTCCAGCCCTGTTCTGAGGTCAGCAGGTTAACAAAAATGAAGATTGCTCCACGCATCTCTACAGCCCTTTCTGCACCTTTCCCCACAGGCAGCTGTCTGATAGGAAAGTAAAACCAGTTTCCTTTAGTCTATAGATAACTTTTGCTTCATTTACAAACACTACCCCAGTATTTGTTAAGAATCAGCCGTGACTATTATGTCTGTGTTACTGCACTAAACCTCTTTACTGACTTCAGTGCACCCTTTGCATCAAATCTTGTCTTATCATAGATTTTGCAGCTGCAAAAGCTAGTTTGTATCTGTCTTTAAGTTCATGATTTTAGTTTTCCTTCAGATAGGAAAGTCTTTCTTTCCTTCCATTGATATGTCAGGGTCAAGTAACTTACTTAAACTAACTGGTCTGGATGGAATTAATGCTGAGCAAATTGAGCATTTACATTATTAGCTACCTGATTTCCTGCTGCAATCAGGTAATTAGATACCTGATTTCTAGACTTTATATAACCAACTTAATTCTCTCAGTTTACCATGAATAAAAATTTCTGGATGGAAAAAATGGAAGTGATTAAAACAACAACCACAACAACAAACAGAACAAAACATAAAACCAATCCCCCCAGACAGCTTCCTGGTAAACTGGGATGATTTCATTCCTTTATTCCTAAAGTAATAATCATAGAATCACTAAATGGCTTAGTTTGGAGGAGACTTTAAAGATCATCTAGTTCCAATCCTCCTGCCACAGGCAGGATTGCCAGCCACTAGATTAGGCTGCTCAGGGCACCATCCAACCTGGTCTTGAACGCATCCAGGGATGAGGCACCCACAATCTCTCCAGAAAACCTGTTCCAGTGTTTCACCACCCTCCGAGTAAAAAAATTCTTCCTAACATCTAAGCTAAATATACCTTGTTGTAGTTTAAAGCCATTCCCCCTCGTCCTGTCACTATCAGACCATGTAAATATTCAGTTCCCATCCTGCCTGTAAGCTCCTTTCAAGTACAGGAAGGCTGCATGAGGTCTCCCTGTAGCCTTCTCTTCCCCAGACTAAACAAGCCCAGTTCCCTCAGCCTTTCTTTGCAGGAGAGGTGCTCCAGTCCTTTCATCTTCTTTTTGGCCCTCCTCTGGACCCACTCCAACAGCTCTGCATCCCTCCTGTACTGGGGGACCCAGGCCTGGACGCAGTGCTCCAGATATGGACTTACAAGGGCAGAGCAGAGGGGGACAATCACCTCCCTCTCCCTACTGGCCATAATAATTGACTGAAATTTACTTTCTGTGTATTCTCACTAGAATCAGAAACAGATGAAGAATAATGAGGTCTCCAGCACTGTTTTTCAGACTGCTGTTTCAGGTGATTGAATATAGCATAATTTTCAAAGAAATGACCAGCTCTAACTCCTTAGTATGGGAGCTTTTCTACTTTCTTCATCAAGCTTAATATTGCCCGTAGTCCCAAAGGACACTTTAGAAAGGATTTAATTAGCAGTTTTTCTAGCAACACCAGCAGAGATGTCAAAAGGTGAAACTGCTGTATTTTCAGTGCCCAGCTCTTCCTCTGAAGATGGGCATTTTGAACAAGAGAAATCACAGTAACTACCAACAAAAGGTGGTTCTGCATATGTCGTAGTGGCCAATGCATGTTTTGAGAAATCAGAAGGTTTTTACAATGTTTATCTTGCTTTTTTGTTAAAGAAGGACAATTTCCAAAGCCCAAATACAGGCACAAAACAGGAGTTTTCTCAAGCTATTCTCAGAAGTTAGTTTTGCTTGAAATGGGAGAGGGTAGGAATCATATATGGAGGGAGCTGGAGTCGACAATCCTTACAATTAATCAAGTCCTTCTGTCTGCACTGCAGTAAATCTGGTAGTAAATAACTTTACAGATTTCTTTTCAATCTGAACACAGTCTTCTCCTTTTGCTTTGGGTTCCCAGTGGCATTATTTCCACTCTTTTCAATGGTCTTTTGGTGCAATGAGTCACTCTGAACTGTGACACGTTTTAGTGCTACCACTAAAGTTTGTGCTTTTCCTTTTCTGTAGATTAATTAGGTACTTCAGCATTTAAGTACCTTCCACAACCAGTAAAACCATATACTGTTATCTTAAAAGCTGATGATAACCACAGCAACACTAAAATGTGACTGGGAACCCTGATGCTGCTTGTTGTGGTTACAAAATACACAGGTCAGTTGGATGCAGACACAATAGGGATTTACTTCTGCACTCAAATCTGCTTAATTTTATCCTCTAATTCTACCCTGCATGAGAAAGAAACGTATTGATTATCTGGTTTTAAAGACAATCAATGCTCTAACAAGTACATGCCTCAAAAGCTTCATCAGAATTATCAAATAATTAAATATTTTCTGCAACCTTGAATGCAATCTGAAGCATCTTCATTTACAGGTCAGTGATCATACACTTCTTTATGCTCAAGTCCTTAGGAATTTTTTATTTTACTTTACCTATGATTTACTCTTCCAGCAGTAAATCTGAAATGTGATTTAATGCTTGTTCTACTACCCTTCCCTGCAAGACTGGGACATAGTTTGGCTATTTCTCCCTCTTTATGAAGTGACACATACATTTTAAAAAGTACAAACAAATTTGTTGCCCAGCGTGGCTCCTCAAGAATTTGAGATATCGATAGCAACAGGGTAACAGGTAAAACGCAAACTGGCTATTGCCAGGGACTGAAGTAATTGTGAGAAGTCCTTCACTCTGTACAGTGGTGAAAGGATGAAGGGTGAATTTCTGTTGTGCGCATATATTGTCCTCCTGTCTGTGTTTGATGATGTTCTTTAATTTTAATGTGGAGATTTTTTGCTGTTGATGTAAATGAAGCTTGTAATGTGTGCTGAATGTATATTTGAATGACAATTTGGCTGAGTAATACCTATGACTAAACTATAATGTTTATGTAGGATATTGTCTATTGAATTTCAGCAGTTTAAAGGGCTCTAACTTTCATTTATTCCTTTGAAAAATATACAGCCTTATTTATTCTGAGTATATTTTGAGGAAAGAGGAAACTACTATTTAAATCTATGGATTTACACTAATGTAAAAATGGATGAAACAAGTCCCAGGATGATCTACTTCCCATTTACAAGTTCTACCCACACTATAACCTCCATCAGAATATAAGTGGTTGGAAATGGAAATTTTGTCTTGTTACCCTTTACTGTCTCTACTGTTGAGTCGTGAAAGTGTCAAGGGGAGTACTGTGCATACACATTTGTGCTGATGGGAACATATTGCTGCTTTTGAAAGGGGTGGCTGCTCAGGGTCTGCACAAACTGATCAGATGGCTGACAGCTGCTCCCGCTGCTTTTCCTTTTTATTCAGGGCTCCAGCGCAAGAACTGGACTGTGAATCCTGAGCTATTAGTGTTGGCTCACGAATGTTGAATGGATGGTATTGATTTTTTGAAAAGATGTTTGGAACAGTAATAAAAATAAAAAAATCAAGTAAAAAATGATGAGGCTTTACAGATAGCCAATAAAAGACTCCACAACAAGTTAGTAAACTCTTGGGCTATTCAACCTTGACAATGTCCTTTTCAATCTGAATCCAATCTTGCCCCCATGCTTTGTGGAGCTAGCTGCATTTGTTTTCACCCTCATAATGCAACACTGGCTCAATGAGTCGCCCTGAGCAACAGCTTGCACTTTCATGCTGTCACAATCTACCCAGTCACCCTGCAGGAGCAGAGAAAGAAACGTGCAAGGGAAGACCTGGAGTAAATGATAAAAGTCCTGTTCATCAGAAGGAACTTCTAAAGTCAATGGGAGCTCACGGCATGTGGCAACTGTGAAGCCAGACCCCTTACAGACTTCAGATGCACTTCCCAAGCACACACACATAGTGGCCTTTCCTAGACTTTCAGATTTGCAGTGTTTGCTTTACTCCCTGAACAGGTGAAAATAACTCACTCATTTTTATTACAAACTTTATTATCCAACTAATATATTTTTAAAAATACAAATGCAAAGCAGTTGTTGAGCACAGTGGTTTAAAAATGTAATTTAACTTTTACTATGAGGTAATAATCCTTAATGATAGCCAAACCTGACACATAACCATTCAGTACCTTTCAAAATAAAAAATGAATTACCCAGAATTAAATACTTGAAAGGAAAGATTTTCGTAATGGAAGTCCCTGAAGAAAACTGACCCTCAGCATCTGAATATTTCATTATTTCTGACACAAGGGACTTAAAAATCACTTCAATTTAAAAACAGATTAATTAGTCTAATTTTAGCTCATTACACTAACATAAAATTGGAGCAAGGCAGTTATAAATTAGGCCAAATATTTTCTGGAACTACTCACTAAGATTAAAAAAAAATAAAATGGGCAATATGGTCTTTGTTTACTGACAGATGCTAAGACCACTGAGTATATGAGATAAGATTTTTTCCTACAAGCAGTTCTACCACATTTCCTGGGGATGATTGGAGAGTAAGTTATACTACTGTAAAAAATACAGCACTGAGTTACCAATATCTGGCTGTGTGTTTGTACGATGCCCTCTGTGATAAGCTTCCAATATGGATATTACAAAAACATACATAAGAAACAAAAAACGTTCATGAGTTTTGAAATATAACTGAAATATTGAGATAATATCAATTTAATAAAATGATCACTAGGAACCTCAGTAACCCACTTTGTTTCAACCACTGCTAGCTGTTTTAGTCTCCCAGTTGAATACAAATCAGTGGTACAAATCTATTCAAATAATCTCCGAAGAAAAGACTTTTTCACTGGTGTGGTTAACTTCATGGTTTTCTTTTTGTGCAGTCGTTTCATGGGTTGCTTTTTCAGATGCACCACCTTTTTGGGAGTTTGCAGCCCTTTATTAAGGTCAACATGCTCATTGCAGAAGTACTTGACGTTTGCTTCGGAGAGCCGTAGGAGCATGCTCTCTGACAGATCCATACACTGTGCATGAACCCAATGGCCAGACCCACTGGAACACAAAATCATTGCAGGCTTGTTGAGTTCTGTTGAATAGAAAGGCACCCAGGTGTTAATGTCAATATTGCAGCTGGCACAGCAGATGATCCAGTACCCTGTTTCTGATTCATCTTCTTCATCATCTTCATTGTATGTATCAATGTCATCAACGTCAAAGCTACTGGCTTCAGCACTAAAAGAAAACTCTTCAGAATCTTCAAATGGAGTGGAGTCTCCCTGGTCTTCAGTAGATGCCTGACTGCATGCTTGTGATGTCAATTCTTCTTCTTCGTCTTCATCCTCTTCTGCTCTGTTGCATCTCAAAATGTAGAAGAAGTTTGCATCTGAGATTAACTGTTTGTTGGCCCCAGGAATGCCCAACAATATAGACCCTTTGCCCATATCATAGCCAAACCACATCCTACAGTGTTTAATGTCAGGTGTCCAGTCTGGACTTGCCCTTTCAACAATCTCTATTTTATTATCTTCCAAAATTATAGTGTTACAGATCATCCGTTTCTGGTTGTCAGACTGGTAGCCCCCAACAAGGACGAATTCAGTATCACCAGTTTGAGTCACAATACCACTCGACACAGATATTCCCCCTGGCAAGATAGAGCAGGTCACGGCTGGGCTGCCCAGCGGGAGATCAACTTTTAGCCTGTAAAGGCTGGGAGGCCGGGTGTTATTTTGAAGTGAATGGCCTCCCAAAATGTAGATTGTATCATTCCTGGCAACTGAAACATGGAAGGAAAGTCCATCTTGAAGCTCTGGAAGTATGTATGACGTACAGCATCCAAACTCAAAATCAACAAGAAACACAAATGGCAAACAGTCAACTACACTATTCCATTTTTCAGTAGTTCTCTGTGCAAGAGGAATGTATGATCTACCTCCAAATATAACAATCATGCTTTTTCCCCGGCTATGAACTACATTAATTGTATGTCCATATCTAGCTTCAGGGACATCTCCACCTAGATCTTTCTCAATGCATTGAAACGTGGTTTTCTTGGTAGTTTTGTTTACCACACTCATAATGTAAACCTTATCAGAAAGATCATTGTTAGGTGTTTTCCCACCATGAATGATATACTGGTGCTTATCGGACTCCCCATCGCTTCTAAGCGTGCAAATAGCTGGGTAGCGGAGCGGGGGAAGGTAACAGGAATCCCTAGAGAAGGCAGCAGGTTTCATTTTGAGCTCATTCTGCTTTATATCAAGGAAGAAAACACCCGTGGGACAGGATCTCTTCGGCCATCCTTTCTGCCCAAAAAAGAAGACGTGCCCATCAAAATTCAGCAGTGAAGAACCTGGCTGAAGCAAAGATGAATTGCTGACAGCCGATACCATCTGCAGTGACATTGCATCTGCTGGCTGGGTCATCCTGTGGTATCTGAGGCAAACAACACAAAAGAAAGACGTTTTGAACACTCTCCGAGTATCTACTTGAATAAGTGGCATTAAAATTGCACGTCAGTTCTCTCATCATTTAAACTGCATGCCAGCTATGCGGAATTTTGTTAAAAAAAAAAAAAAAAAGGTAATATTTACAAGCATAACGCTTGCTTTCGTGGCTGCTGGGCCAGCCTTACTGCCTCCACTCGAGCAGCGCAGTAAAGGCCGCGCTCCGGGCGCGGGGCTCCCAGGGAAACGCCGGCCCCAGGGCTTGCTGGGGCCGGTAGTTTTCCTTCTGCGGCTCTACCAGCCTCGTCTCCGAGGCCGCCGTGGGTCTGGCGGTCCGCGGGCGGTGAGTGGGGCGCAAGGGCCGGGGCCTTTCGCACCGCTGCCGTCAGCGGGCGGATCCGCCCCCGCCTGCTGGCGGTAGGCGGGTGCTTGCGCGGGGCCTGCGGCGCTGGGGCGGCGGGGGGAAGGCCGTAACGCGCGGCTCCCGCGGTGTGCGCCTGGGCTCGGCTGGGGTCCCGGTCAGCGCGGCTCGTGGGATCGGCCTCCTTAAGCTGAACGGCATGCGGGACTACAAGGCAGACATCAAGATTAGTGGAAGACGTGTCGGAGCAGTCGCGCCCAGCCGTGTTTCTAACCGCGCTGGTGCCCGCACGCTGCCTGGCTCTGTTTAGGATCGATGGGCTGACTGCCCCGTGCTTTTGTCTTGCCATCACATTCGTCTGTGGGGTTTGCAGCTTGGATTTGTCATGTTGCTTTCATGAGTAGGTTCCAAGCTATTTTTTAACACGTTTGTCCAAAAATCCTACAATAGTTAATGCAGTCAGCCTGTGCAGTAACACTGCTCGGGAGAGCAAAGATGCCAGGGAGGAAACCAACTGAGCAGTCTGTAGTGACAGCAGAGCTGTGCCTTTCAGTCACTGCCCAGGTCTTGGGTGCAGCCTTTGCCAAATCTGCAGGATTTAAAGCTGTGAGCTAGCTTCAAAGTGCAGTATTTGAAGAAAAAGCCCAGCCGAAAGTCCCTCCACATTTTAAAATACAGTTTCTTTTTTCGAATTCTTTAGGATTTGTGTTTTTGTTGTGCCGGGTTTTGATTTTGCTGTACTAGCAAAAGCAAGAAACAGAGGATTCCTTCTCTAAGGAAGGATGAATCTTATAGCCGTGTGCCATCAAAATCTGGGGATTCCAGAACAGCAGTGCTTACAGCAAGATTCACTGTGGAGCTGATCTGTGGGACTGATTACGCTGGCTACATCAAATTGTCATCTGGATATGTTCTCATGTACAATAAGAACTTCTGTATGCTGTTAGTATACTGCTTGCCTGCCCCACTTGCTGGTATGCAAGCTGCAGTGCTATTGTGAGAAATCTGCCATTAAATTGTTTTGCAGGTAAATGAGCCTCGTCAGATTTGGTTGGGCCATAGCACATGAGAGGGAAGACACAGCCCCCACTGTTGTCAATTAAAAAAAATGAAAAAGAAATAATCAATTTTCTTTTTGTATGTTGTATCACTCAAATATCATGGTGAAGCAGCACTTGCTGTGTAACTGGTCTGAGTTCCTCTGTCATAGAATCATAGAATGGCCTGGGTTGAAAAGGATCTCAAAGATCATTTAGTTTCAATCCACTTGTTGTGGGCAGGATCGCCAACCACAAGACCAGCTGCCCAGAGCCACATTCAGCCTGGCCTGGAATTCCTAAAGATGGTGGTTCTTAACGTGTTTAGATTCCTTTTCAAAAGTACTGCACTGTAGGCAAAGTTCAGTTAGGAGTCAGCTAAATTAGCTAACCCCATTCTGAGGATGTTTTTGTTGTTATTTGCTTGAAGAGAAATTTGCCAAATTGTTTACATTCAGATGAGATGCTAAACAGAAATCTTTGCTGCTTGTTTCTTATAGCTATTCAAAAATGCTCTTTTTAGAGGAGTATGCACAAATTTGGATTTACTGGGTTGTATTTCCTGTCTTTCATATTGTGTGGTTACATAGCTTCTGTGTTTTTACGGTCTTTAGTAAAGTAACTGAACTTCCATACTAAGGATGCTATGAGCACACCAGTAAGTTGGGATTGTGGTATTTTCCTACTGGTTTGTTTTTGAAATCAACTGAGTATTAAAAATGGCAGATAATTTAACCGACATGTTGAGTTCTTTAGTATATACTATCCAGAGAAGCTGTTGGAGATAGAGTGGAGAAAAGACCAATTAAGATAATTAAAAATGAGATTGGCAGACATATAGAATGTACTGGTTAAATAAAGCACACTCAAAAGCACTTCCTTTTTGTCACTGCTTAATATTCCTTGGGCTTTAAATAAGTAATCACTTCAGTAAGTGAAGGAGTAAGTGAATCCTTTATCCTGGATTCTGTGACAGCAGTAGTTCCTTAGGCCCTTGCTGGGATTGTTTTGTCTTTCTGGGTTGTTCCATGCTATTTACGGTATATTCACGTTGTGTGGCTGATGTTTGGCTGTGCTGATTTCCACTTCTAAGCTATTACTAACATGACATAAGAAAAACCCCCAAACAACATCCATATTCATGTTAATTTCACAGTAATTGGAATGTTGCCAAATAGCGAATGATTAGATCTTAGGAACTGCAGCAAACCAAAAGCACCTTTCAGTTATAAAATAAGGTATTTGAACAGCACTGATTAGACATGGAGAGAAAACAGATTGCATGATAGCATGGAGTCGTAGTTGGTAAATGCTGCTTGCTGACCATCAAATTTTGTCATTAGTTTGTAATTATTTGTAACGTGGCAGGAACACAGTTACCTACAGTACATTTAAATTTGTTTTGCAATATTATATATTTTTTCTTTTCCTCTGACTGATCTGCAGGGTCTCCTTTTGCAAAACAGCAAGCAAGTGCTCTTTCCAAATTCTTCACAATTGAGATAATATCCAGACACCTGCAGAGGTTTGAAGTACTCCATAAAGAGGATTAAGAAAACAATTGTTTTGAGAAATAGTATTTAAAAAATTTCATATGTGTATCAACCAAGTTTGCTCTGGGTAAAACGATAAGTCAGACGTACCTGGCTGATGGAGTGCTTTTGTGTCTTCCAAAATCTTTCTCTGTAATTGAGATTCAAATGTGAGCACTTTGAGGAATCTTCTCTGACAGCACAGGGGCTTGTGGCATGGAGGGGAATCTATCTGCTCAATTTGCAGATGTGTTCCTGAGAACTCAGTCTACTGTGGCTAACTGGCTGTGACCGTTTTTTCTTTCTTTTTTTTTTTTTTTTTTTTCCTTTCCTCTCTTGTCTTCAGATGGCACAACAAGAAACCCACCAGCCTTTGGGAGCTTTAACTCTTCACAGCTGAACTAGTCGAACAATTGTTAAAGCTTGGAGCATGCACTTCTTTGTAGCTTAATTCTTTACTCTGCTTAATCCATCAAGCTTATGATCATTTTTGTAATTTTTTTTGGTGCCAGTGTAGTGTAAAATACAAGCTGAAGTAATTTTTTTGTGTGTGTTCAAAGGTATACTAATTTCTATGTATAGTAAAAGAATGAGTGAGGACTGACTAAATTTCTAGGCCAAAGTCCATTGAAGTCAGTGACCCTCTGATTAGATCTTAAAGAATGAAAACTTTGCTCCCTTCTGTGCATTTTTCATCAGATTCACAGAACTTTTCTTCAAGTTAGACTCCGCAAAGTCCTATGGGAACATATCCTTTCAGCAGCCAGCAGCGCTGGGGCACAGAGGATAAACCACTTCTATAGCATAGCACAGCAAGTAAACTGAAGAACCTAGAAAACAATTCACTCTTCATAGCTCCTTGCTTCTTTTTCCTTGAACCTATTTCACTCATTCCTGAGTTACAGCATCTGCCACACAGTATTTTAGAAATGCTTCATCTCCCATTTGAAACTGCAGGGAGAACAGAAATAAGAACAGCTTGTAATGGAATTTGGTTTGTACGGGAAAGCAAACACACCCAATGTTTGTGAAAAATCATCTTGAGACGTTGAAAAACTGTAATGCATATAGGATGTGGTAGAGTTTCTCATTTGAAATATAGCAGTTGTAAGGCACTGTGCCCTGTATTGTCCACATGGGCTTATTAGTTCTCTAGCAAAACAAAGGGCAAAGGAAAGTGTACTGCAGAGTTCAAGGCCAGAGAACTTAGCTTCGCCCATAACTTAAGGATATTCAAATCAGATGTATTTGTATTTTCAGTAGTGCTTAGATGATGTTTGACAGGTTAGTATCGAGTGCATAGTCAAACCCTTGTTTGGATCTGAGATCAAAAGATCTACTGGCAAAAGAGATACAAATATTTAAGATAAAATCCAACCTCCACTTGTTTAATATTTTATATTCATTTTATTCTCCTTTTGCAACTTGATGTGTCTTATGTCTAGAAATTCTTTTTCCAATTACTGTGGATGAGAAGACAGAGAAATTAAAGTTTGTTGGCAACATCATGTTGGTTTTGGATAAGGATGTGGTCTGTCCAAAATGGTCTTCTTTAACTGTCAGTGACAAACTGCTTTGGAAGAGCTGCAAGCAGCCAGTAGCTTTGGAATAATGTATCAACAAGGCAGAAAAATCATGTTCAGAACTGTGCAGTTCACAGCAGGAATATCTAGGGTTTGCAACTTGAAATTATCTGGCAGAGAACCAAGGTGAAAATGAATCAATAGACTTCTTCACAATTTTCTATTTTAATAACGTTGACATACTATGTTTTCAGCAGATTGCTCATTGTCATGGAGATGCTTTGTTTCACTTCATTTTCTCCTACTACACTTAATCAGGTAATATATGATTTACATCTTCATCCCAAGTCATTCCAAGTTGCACTGAGATATTTCCACACCTGTCAGTATATTATCTGCCACTAAACCTCCATGCCAGGAGTGGAGATGGCTCTCCATGGGTTACAGCAATACATGCCAGGGAGGCAAGACAGGGGATGCCATCCTACTTGTTTGTGGAAGTAACCATCCAGGATGCAAATATGTGGCTAGATATTTGGCCAAAACCCAGGGCTTAAACTTGTAGAGGAAAGAAGGCACGGGGAGGCCAGTGTCCTAGAGTCTTCAGTGTTCTGTCCCATCCAAAACCATCAGTAAACAGTGTTTA